ACGAAGATCTTTGTATGATTGCATAAGATCCGGTGGTAAAGACACTGCTTTTGGTCTCAACGCCAGTGTTGGCGGGGATGTTACCGAATGTGATCCGTTTCCCTTTTAAAGGATTGCCTCCATCTTGGTCTAGATGGACATCAACTTCTATTTTCGTGGTAATGGAAGTAAAGCTCTCGAAATTCGAGATGGACGGAGCCGGCGTGATAAGGGTCGACATACCTAAAGGTGTCGCAGAGATAAACCGACTTCGCCGGTTTATTCAGGTATTTAAGGACGCACTAGCCCCTAAGCAATCAGTCTGATGAGCGCAAGCCGCGCGAAACTAGTTACCATTACTATTGCTACCCATAGCTATATATCTACTGGTGAAGCCCCCACCAGTCAGTTTATCTCTCTGAACACAGTTCTTATAAGTGGTAAGCTGTCCTTCTCTATACTTCCGTGAGAGATTACCAATCCCTGCAGCTGAGCAGAACCTGCTGTATTGGACTGGTAACATGCCACAGCTGTAAAAAGCATGTCCAATCTTCTCATTCACCAGGAATTTGTTGTCTGGGAGGTAGGGTGATGACGCCAGACGATACTGGTGTGACTTGCGGCAGCGTACTTTCATCTTCATGACATGGACTGGATAACTGATTTTGGCCACAGTCAATCTGTTGGAGCATTTTCGTCCATGCTTTTCTGCTACATCCAGGCACATTTTCATGGACGATTGAGATATAACAAAAAATCTGTCATCAGTGTCACCTGGTCCAACTGTCAGGTGTGTTTCACTGGTGGATCTTCCGGGGCAGTCAGGCCGTGATGTTGGAGATAATACGATAATACCCGGTCCAGAACATCAGTATTATTAGCAGGCATGCTGGTCTCTGCTTTCAGGTGAGCTTTCACCTGTTTCAGCTTTTGAAGAATACCTTCCTTGACTTCATGATCACCTGGTACTTCAATTGTGAAACGAGCAGGTCGCTAATTTGGATCCAGCATGTGAGGAAATCAGTATGGCGTGGTAGAAAACAAGAGATGTTCAATTTATTCAGATAGTTGGAGTCAATGAGCAGTGGTCAGACCCTGAAGTGATCGCATGCTAAACAAAGCCAGGTTCATTGGGTTTTTTTGGGGGGTATGGGTTGGAGAGGTACATTGAGGAGAGGAGATTGGTATATTTTTTATTAAGGTTTTGTGAAATTTAGGTTATTATAAAGAATTTAGTACAACAAAGGTTAACCATCAAATAGAATGAAAATTAACTGGTTGAAGTGTTGGTAATGATCACATAGATACCAAACAAATATCACCCCCTCATGGGAGAATCAAATGTTCTTGTTGGTGTCAGTGTCAAAACAGATTACACTCCCGCACAGGGGGAGTGGGGGTGGGGGTCAGTTTCACTGTCTGGGGAGAAAGTGAAATATGAAACCTTGAATGGCAATCTTTCCTCCACTAGCCGACATGTTGCTATGGATACACACCTCCTCTGGTCACCTGACTGATACAGTGGCAAATTCAAATCTGGATTACAATAAGGGGGAAATATTTTCCAAATTGTACATTTTGTAGACTATCTGTATCCATATTTTTTCATAGTAAGTCTTCATAACATCCTTCTGTGTACTATGGCTCAATATCATTAACTGGTAAGTCGATTTGTGATATTTCATCGAATGTATTTGACTACTGCTTTGCTTTGCATCAAAGACAGTTTTAACCATACATTGTGGCCACACCCCCTTTGTGCATAGGCTTGAACCCCGGCCTTTAAACCCAACTCACTCACTCACTGTTATGGGAAGTTTAGGGTCGAGGACTTTAGGGTGTTTGACATTGTCTGGGAGTCCCTCAGCCTGTCTGAGTCTACCAACAACTCCTACCATGCCATCAGATGGGTCATATTCTGGATTGAGTTCTATAAGTCTGCTTGTACGGGTTATTGCTTTGCCTTCTCTGAATAATGCAATTTCATCAGGAAAGCATTCCAGCTGAATTTGATGAAACAACAGTGTTCCCGCTTTCTCTATGAGTTCAACTTCATCAAATTGATCACTTATGGCCGCCCTGTCAAGGCACTCCATGGTAGCCTTGACTAGTGATTCCCAGTACTGAGAACAATCAGGAAGGTTCACAGCTTAGATATTGCCACAGAAACATTTCTTCAGTTCATCTGCTACCTCAGCAGCATCAGGAATATCACATTTGTCTATGAGTGTCGGCCTTTTCTCAGAGGATTCTAGAAGGAAAGTAGGTTCCTCCATTGGGAGGCAACACAGAGTTCCTGCAAGGTTAAACCTCTTGTGACATCATCGACTGGGTTATCCATGTGTTCACATAACGCCAGCTGTCTGCAGGAGTCAGGGGTTGTATCTCAGGCCCGAGTCCCAACAAACACCTTGTACCGACACAACTCTGACTGAAGCCATGTCAAGACAGTTGTTGAGTCACTCCACAATATGGTATCTTGGATCGTTATGCTCAGTTCTTTGTGAAGTTTAGTGGCTAACTGTGCACCAGTAAGGGCAGCAGAGAGTTCTAGTCTGGGCATTGAGAGCAGCTTCTCAGGAGCCACTCTACTTCTCACAGCCACAAAACTGACAGCTATCTCACCATTACTCTCTGCACTTCTCAAATAGGCAACTGAACCACAGGCACGCTCCGAAGCATCACAGAATATGTGTAGTTGTCTCTGTGACTGAGAACGATCATGGTTTCTAGATGTGTAGCATCTTGGTAGACACACTTGAGGGATATCACACCGTTCAGATTCCCAAGTTTTCCAGTTTCTATTACAGCATCCCATTCATGTTTTGATCTCCTAAGGTCCTGCACCAAGATTCTTGCTCTTGACGTGAACAGTGTCAAGTAGCCGATAGGATCATACTATGTGGCAAGGATCTTATACATAACTTTCATTGTCAGTTTATCTTACGTAACTGGTCGATACTGGTAGCTAAGTTCGTCAGTGTTACATTTCCAGTGCAATACAAGAGCAGGTTCTTGCTTATCATCATGTCCAAGACTTGCCCACAGCTCGAAGGTATCTGACTTTGCCTCTGCAGGCAAGTCTTCTAGTATCTCAGGTACATTGCAAGCCCACTGACAGATGTCAAAGCCACCTTCAGCAAGCACCTTTCTCAGATTTGTAACTTGTTTCTTTGCTTGGCCAGGATTCATCCGACTATCCAGGCAGTTGTCTTCGTAGAAAGCCTTACCAACACACTTCATAACTTCAGGGTTCCGCCGCTGATCGTCAATTGCTTCAGTAGGGCAATGGTCACACAACATTGACTGCAAGTAGTACCGAAGGTCAGTACCTGCCATTCGTAGACAACTGGATCCACATTATTGTTCAAATTGCGCCACAGGAATCTGAGGATGGGTTTGTCTTCAAGTAGGAGTTCCAACTGGGTATTGTCAAAATCTCAAGAACATGCCTAGGAGGGAGGATCCAAGGGTAGGACCCAGTAGAAGATGGCTATTGAGATCTTGGCCCTTGTACTCATAAGAGCAATTGAAGACAAAACGATTCTCCCCATTGCGTCAACAAGGTGATGGGGGATAAACCATGATTCATCGGTTAACCTTGCCTGTTCGTCACTTATGATTAGCACAAAACCTGCATCAACTAGTCTCTGAATTTGATCATTGCCGATCTTTGCAACTATTGGTGATTCTGATGGTGTTTCTCAGTTCGTCTCAGGTTCGACATCACAGCTTCCTTTCCTGCCTGTAACTTAATATGGTCCGATTTTCACAGGAGTGGTGTTGCATAGTGCTTACCATCGCTAACTTTCACTCGCACTGTTTTAGCTTCAAGTTCGGATAAAACTTCTTGATCCTGTTTGGAACGATTTAATTTTCTCTCATTGAAAGGCAAAAAGTCAATTTGCAATAGGTTCAACATTTTTCATCACCTGATCTGGACTGGAAATTGCTGTGAAATGCCATTGGATGTCTTTGGGATTCATGGATAGCTGACTTGGTCCCTGGAGGGCCCAGTCCAGCTTGGTATGCACTGCCACTGGAGCTCGTTCCGGATCAAACATGATTGGTTGGGTTGGCAGTATGAGAACTGCATGATCAGAACCCATGAGGATAGTAGTGATAGCTTTGTCGATCATTGGCAAAGGTGTATTTCTCAAATGAAGGTAGTGCATCTTGAGGGCTTCCACTGGATACAAATACTCTGACAAGGATAGCTGCTCAAAGGTGAAAGCGTTGAAAATCGGGAATCTAACATCAGGTCTTGTCTCTGGATGAGATCAGAAGGTTCACGCTGTGACCTTGGCAGTTGAAAGGTCCTTCATGAACTGTCGTGAGCATGATATTATCTGGCGTCTTCAGAAGGTTCAACTGCTTCACCACAGAGGTCAGTATCATTGTCCTCATCGAACAAACATCTAAAACAAAATAAGTAAGTGGGTTGGTGTGGTAACCCCTGACTACATACAATCATTTAATAAACAAGACAACCCGGTATTAGAGGGATAGTCAAGATGTACATGTATTTACTCTTCTTGAGTGTTTACATTCATGGCGGAAACAGCCGTCGCGAGGGTTCCCAGAATTCCCTGCTGAGGGAGCAGTTATTATGCTTAAGTGGAAATCACGGGGAGTGGCTTATTGTTTAAACTGTTACTCTATGACACTCCTCCCCCATAGTTTTGTTGCACTTTAAACATAACTACCATAATGAATCTACACATGTTGAAAGAACTGACAATTGCTCCAGAAGATGTAAAGTGTCTCTTCACACATCTCATTGGAACATTTTAAATGAAATTTAACCAATATTGTTCCAGATGTTATTTAGAGTCTCTCATGTCACACAATAACTGGAACACTTTAACTGAATATGCACTTGCATTAATGATTAAAGATAACTGGATATGCATCTGCTTATGTCTGAATAAGGGAACCAATAACAAGATCCAAAACTATCAATCACTGATGGTTCACTTAGGTGACAAATAGTGTGAAATACATCACATTCTCATTACAGTTCATAACTCAGCAGCAATCTTTAGATTAAGTCTATCCGGCGCTTTCCGGATTCTGGAAGAACGACGAAATGCTTGCGCACCACAAGAATCTGACTGAGTAGGAGATAGTGCCTCTGGTAAGACCTGCTGTGGCTCGGGCCTTGTAGAAGTAACTTCATCTTGCAAGTGAGGGGTACCCGGAAGTACTGGAATGTTGCCAGGTTCAGGCAACATAGGTAACTTGTCAGGTAGTTCTGGTAGAACTGATTGTTCATGTGTTGATGGAACTGATTTATCATGTTGGCTTTCATGCTTCAGAACATGGCGCAAACGCAGGTGATCAATATGGCGCTTGACAACACCACCATTGTCAAGACGAACATGGAACGACACTGGACCGGTTCTCTCTGTTATGATTCCTGACAACCATTTGTCACCAGGACGAAAGTTTAAAACATACACAAGATCTCCAACTTGCAAGTGACAGTCCTTTGCATGTGCATCATGTACTGACTTTTGCTGTTCTTGTTTGTTCCTAACTTTACAGCTCATATCTGGATGAAGAAGATTGAGATGAGACTTTGGTCTTCTTCGAAGAAGTAATTCTGCTGGAGATAACCCCGTTGTAGTCTGCGGGGTAAGTCTGTATCTGAACAAAAACCGTGCAAGTTTTGTGTCCAATGTGCCCCCTGTCATACGTTTAATGCCAGATTTAAAGGTTTGTACAGCTCGTTCTGCTAACCCATTAGAGGCAGGGTGATATGGTGCCACACATGTATGAGTGATGCCATTACGTTTCATAAAGACAGAGAATTCCTCACTTGTAAAACAAGTGCCATTGTCAGTGACCACTTGGTCTGGCAGTCCATGAGTTGCAAACATATGTCTGAGACAATCAATTGTAGCAGTGGATGTGGCACTGTTCACTGGAAACACTTCCAACCATTTAGAATGTGCGTCAATACACACAAGGAACATTTTACCCAGGAAAGGTCTGGCATAGTCTAAATGCAAACGACTCCATGGATGTTCAGGCCATTCCCAAAAGTGAAGCGAAGCCTCGGCTTGTACTGGACGAGACTGTTGACACACAGAACAGGTTTTCACCTTGAGTTCCAATTCATCATCCATCTTTGGCCACCATACGAATCCACGCGCTACAGACTTCATGCGCGAGATACCTGGATGAGCTTCATGCAACATGTTCACAACAATCTCTCGACCTTGTGGCGGCACAACAATACGATTGCCCCACAAAACACAGCCATCAAGGACACTCAATTCATGTTTCCTTTTCACAAAAGGAGTGAAAGACTCCTCTAGATTTATGCTTGGCCATCCAGAAAGAAGGAAATTTCTTACTCTGGAAAGGGTTGGATCTCTGTCCGTCCATTGTTTAATTTGCCATGATTTCACAGGAGAAGCATCCATTGCTTCCAGTAAGAGGATTGTGTCCCCTGGTAGAGGTGGATTTGGTGGTGTGTATGGTAAGGGAAGACGACTCATGCAGTCGGCATTCGCAAGGGAAGTACCTTTTCTGTACTCGATTGTATAGTTATATGCAGAGAGGGTTAATGCCCAACGTTGAATTCTGCTCGATGCCATCTGTGAAATGCCCTTGTCCCGACTGAAGATGCTCTCGAGGGGTTTGTGATCTGACAACAGAGTAAAGGAACGCCCGTAGATATACTGATGGAACTTCTTAGTTCCGAAGATAATTGCTAGAGCTTCACGATCCAATTGAGAGTAATTCTTTTCTGCTTGCGACAGAGACCTGGATGCGAATGCTATTGGTTTCTCTACACCATCATCAGACTGATGTGAGAGGACGGCACCTACCCCATAGGGAGATGCATCACACGCCAATACAAGTTTCTTATGGGGATCATAATGCGTCAAGAGATCACAGGAAGACAAATGTCCTTTCACCATGTTGAAAGCTTTTTTCTTTTGAGCTCCCCATGACCAGGTAACTTCTTTCCTGAGAAGCCGATGCAAGGGTGCCAAGGTAGTGGCGAGATTAGGCAAGAAACGCTGATGATACTGCACGAGTCCAAGGAAGGATTTAAGTTCAGCAACATTGCGTGGAGCTGGAGCCGACACTATAGCCTTCACCTTTTCATCAAGGGGATGCAAACCCTGCGCATCTATTTTGTGACCCAAATACTCTACTGAGCCGACCATGAATTTGCACTTCTGTGCGTTCAATCTGAGACCAGCCTTGCTAAGTCTGGATAGGACTTCCTTCATGTTTTCCAAATGTTCCTGTTCAGAGGCCCCGGTGACGAGAATATCATCCAAGTAGACACAGACATGGGGAATGTCTTTGAGCAAGCACTCCATAGTTCGCTGGAATACAGCTGGAGCTGCCGATATGCCAAAGGGTAAGCGCTGGTACTGATAGAGGCCACGATGAGTGTTTATAGTCGTGAGCTTTTGCGACTCCTCATCAATGGTTAACTGTTGGTAGGCTTGACTTAAATCCAGTTTCGTGAAAGTCTTTCCACCTGACGAAGATGCGAACAGATCTTCGATCCGTGGAATGGGGTAAACATTAGTACGAGCGACCTTGTTGACAGTTAATTTGTAGTCTCCGCAAATTCGTATGTTCCCATTGGATTTAACCACTGGTACGATTGGAGCAGCCCAATCAGAATACTGCACTGGCTTGATAATACCCTGTTTTTCAAGGCGTTCAAGTTCATCGTCAACTTTCTGACGAAGAGCATAAGCAACATTCCTGTGCTTATAAAATCTTGGCACATTTGAGGTGATCTCAATAGTGACCTTTTGATCCTTGAATTCCCCTATATCATCTTGGAACACATCAGAATAAGAGTTCAAAATGTCTTGTAACCCTTCATTTCTCACATTCAAAATTTTCCCCCAATCTAATCTGATGGCCTGAAGCCAATCTCTGCCAAGCAAGTTCTCGCCATCACCTTCCACCACTGTCAGCGGGAGAGTAGCGGACTGATTTCCATAATTTACTTGAACGTCTGTAGTGCCTACTATCGGTATTCTCTCTCTGTTGTAGGACCGAAGAATAGCATTGGTCTCACTTAACTTGGGCCTGTCATCACCCTCCTTCCACACTGAATGGAAAGTACTTGAACTGATCACGGAAGTTGCTGCGCCAGTGTCTATCTCCATAGTTAGCTTTTTACCATTAACTAACACTTCAATGAGATAGGGCTCCACTCTGTGTCCCTTACCACTCAATCCGTTTTGAGCATGTTGAGTTTCTACCTTAAAAAGTCCATATTCATTGTTCTCGTCTTCCTGAGATACATCGTCAATACGATTAGCATGATTAGTGGAAGATCTGTTGTCCTTGTAATGGGTACCACGACCATGACCACGGCCCCTGTCGCGACCACGACCACGGCTGTGACCACGACCTGAAGATCTATCATTCATGGCGCTTCGAGAGCGACAAGCACGCTGGATATGACCAACCTTATTACAATTGTTACACACAGCATTTTTGTAATAGCACTGACTACTGACATGATTTGAGCCCCCACAGCGATCACACTTCCTGCCTGCATTATTTCTCCTGTTATCCTCTCTAATCTTGTGCACTGGCCTTGGCATCTGATCTCCCCCTTTAATATCACGCACTTCCTTAGCAGCCATTTCCATTCCTAAACACAAGGAGTAAGCCTTAGCAAAGTCCAATGTTTTCTCAGTTAACAGTCTTTTTTGCATTGCTTCGTTGTTGATACCACACACTAGACGATCCCTTAACTGAGTCTCTAAATCAGTGTATTCACATGTCGATGCCAAACGACGTAGCTCAGCCACATATTCCGATACAGTTTCATTAGGCTGTCTATCACGCATATTGTACCTTCTCCTTTCCATCATAATAGTGGGTTTCGGGTGTAAATGTGACTTCATCAGGTGTACTAACGCATCATAAGAATGATCGCCAGGTTTCTGTGGCGTAGACAAGTAACTTGTATGACTTCGCACCAATCACACTCAATAGAATAGCACGCTTCCTACCCTGATCTGTAATTTCGTTTGCTTCGAAATAATGTCCAAGTCTCTCGACATATTCATTCCAGTCATCAGTCTGAGAATCATATTCATCTATTTTGCCGAAGGTAGCCATGTTGTTTTGAATACCGGGCGAACGCACGTTGTCTGAACAAGATCGTTGTTACTACACGCCGGCACGACAAACGCACTAAATTGACCTCGTCGCCAATATATGTGGTAACCCCTGACTACATACAATCATTTAATAAACAAGACAACCCGGTATTAGAGGGATAGTCAAGATGTACATGTATTTACTCTTCTTGAGTGTTTACATTCATGGCGGAAACAGCCGTCGCGAGGGTTCCCAGAATTCCCTGCTGAGGGAGCAGTTATTATGCTTAAGTGGAAATCACGGGGAGTGGCTTATTGTTTAAACTGTTACTCTATGACAGTTGGGAATTCCATGATTAGATCTTGTCGTTCATGCCTTGCGGGTGGATGGTTTTCAGATCGAATATCCATTTGAGTTCAATGGATCGGCGTCTAGCCGTGCTCTGAGCTGACTCAGGGTCTGTTTTGAGCTGTTGAGTGACCTGTGTGACCTGTGTGTTAACCGGTTTCATATTTATGCAGATTTTGCATGATTGTTTGTGACAGCTGTCATCTAGGTTTGGTACAGTGTGGCCACTGATTTGTGGTTTAGGTGGTGGATATGTGATTGGCGCTCTCATGAGGATATCTCTGAGTGTGCGGTTCTTCCTATATGCCGTGATGTGCGGGACTCGGAAGGTCTTTGCAGATGTCTGTACCTTGAAGTAGGTGCCTGTAATAGTTTCAGTCCATGGCAGAACACAACAAGTCTTCAATTCAAACTTTTAATAAACGTGAGCAACATGGCGTCATCAACATGTGAGAGATGATAACCTACTAAAATCGTAACTCGTCCAGAAACGAACCAGATATTAATCTATGATCTAAAACGATATAGGATCATATCACATCCCCTTTCTTTTGAATAGAAGGAACTGTGATAGTTACTTTTATACAAAAATAATTTGAAACACACTTATGTGTTGTACTATCATCAGATAATTGACCTATTGTTACTGAAGCAAATTATCCTACATGTAAAATGCTACTTCCACAATTTAAATGATATCTGGAAATAATACTGAAATTCTTGAATACTTGTTCAACACAAACTCATGAAACTAGCAGCAAATCCTTGCCTTAACTCATAGTTAAATTCTTCCACACAGTCAACACTTTAAAGATAAACTTACTTTTAACTCCTCCAACATTATAATAAAAATCACTGTTCATTTAGTATTCTGAACTGTTGAAACTATGAAATCAATAGTTAAAAGTCAATATTGTTCCAGGAATCTGTCTGGTCTCTTGACCATTCTCACACTCCTGGTCCTGTACTTTCCATCAATGTTTCTAGTGGTCAGATCATTACCGCTTTTTGCATTCTGACTGTCATCATCAGATATACTTGACTGGGGAGTCTCATCAACGACACTGGGATCATCCAGTGCAAATCTCACTTTTCTGGGCGTTCCCAGCATCTCTCGCAAATGGTGTCTGTTTCGTCTTAACACCTTGCCATTTGGGGTTTCCACCAAATAGGATCTGGGCTCAATACACTTAGCTGATATCCTACCAGGTACCCATCTTCCGCTGTCTTGATCTTGAGTCAAAACTCTCTGACCTATATTCAAAGCAGGTAAGTCTTTCACCCCTTTTCTGCCGTGATAATATTTCTGCGACTGTTGTCTGTCCTGAAGTCTAGTCATGATTGTATCCTTCTGCGGGTGATTATTTGCAATTAATACAGGTAAGTTACCTTGCAACTTACGACCATTCAGAAGTTCGCCTGGTGATGGAATGGTACTGTCAATCGGGGTTGTTCTGAGACTCAGCAATGCTAGATCTGGATCAGTTCTAGACTGCTTCGCTTTGGTAAGACACTGCTTTACAGTTTGCACTGCTCTCTCTACGAATCCATTACTTCGTGGATATCGCGGACTAGAAGTAACATGATCGAAACACCACTTATCAGCGAAACGTCTAAATTCTTCACAGTCAAACTGTCTACCGTTATCACTGATAACTTTGTTGGGTATCCCCTGTTCGCTAAACAGTTGCTTGCAGTGATCTATGACAGCCCTACTTGTATACTGTCCGTGAATTTTGCGTACAAAGAATGATTTTGAGTAGTAGTCAGTTATCAAAAGATTTTCACATCCATCGAAGTGAAACAAATCCATTGCTACTGTGTGCCATGGTCTCTGTGGAATATCATGGGGTTGCAATGTTTCATGTGATTGCGACTTTTGGTTTTCTTGACAAATATTACAATTTGCCAATAGTTCTTCAATCTCCTTGTTGATACCTGGCCAGTATATGCACGATTTAGCACGAAGTTGGCATTTTGTAACACCTTGATGTCCAATGTGAAGTTGTTGAAGCGCCTCACGCCTCATCGCAGGTGGTATCATTATCCTGTCCCCTTTCAGTAACAGCCCATCCTCCACAGACAGTTCATGACGACAAGACCAAAATGGGCGAACGATTTTTCGCACTTGCTTTGGATCTTCTGGCCACCCTGATACAATAATGTTCTTTAATGCACTGAATGTCTCATCATTTTCAGTTTCCAAGAACTGAACTTGGTGAATGGTTGTCGATACTGATAGTTGGACTTGGAGCTGGGTTTTGCCTAGACAGCATGTCTGAAAGAATCATTTCCTTCCCAGGTTTGTATCTAATCTCAAAGTCATATTGCTGAAGTTGTAGCATCATTCTCTGGAGTCAAGGAGGAGTGCTGGCTAGATTCTTGTGCTGAATGTTCTCTAGAGGTTTATGATCCGATTCAACTGTGAAGTGACTGCCAAACACATATGTATGAAACCTCTTGCATCCAAACACCAGTGCAAGGAGTTCACGCTCGATATTAGCATATCGCTTTTCTGTGTCTGTGAGTGCCTTACTGGCATAAGCAACTGGGTATCCGTCCTGCATGATCACAGCACCTAGACCTTTCATTGATGCATCAACTTGCACGACTGTTGGCTTCCTTGGATCAAAGTATTTCAGAGTACCATCAAGACAGATCATAGTCTTCAGCTTGTCAAATGCTGCTTGATGCGATTCTGTCCATTGCCAAACACTGTCCTTGTGGGTCAGCATCCTTAATGTTTCCGTGAATTAAGTCAGCCATGTTGGGTATGAATGATGACATATACTGTATCATCCCCAGGATCCGCTGCAGTTCAACAGTGTTCGCAGGTGGAGGTAGATTGTGAATTTCCTGAACTTTTTCTGGATCAGGATGTACACCTTGAGCATCATAATAGTTTCCAAAGAACTTGATCCTTTCTTTTCTTATCTCACACTTCTCAATGTTGAAGATGAGACCATATCTTGCTGCAACTTTCATAAGTTGATGCAGGTTTTGATCATGCTCCTCTACAGTCTTTCCAAAGACTGCTGTATCATCACTGATACCAAGTGTTCCATGACACTGTTCAAGGATCAAATCCATCTTCTCCTCAAATATGTCCTGTGATATTCTTAGTCCAAAAGGAAGTCTTAAGAAATCAGTACCTTCCAAAAGGTGCATTGAATGTTGTAAGTAAACTAAAAGAATCATCAAGGGTGATGCTCCAATATCCATGCCTAGCGTCTAGTTTGCTAAACACTGTTGCTTCACTAAACTTGTGTGTTATTTCTTCAAGGGTCGGTGTCTTGTGGTAAGTTCTCTTAATGGAACGGTTTAAGTCACTAGGATCAAGACACACTCTCAACTTGCCATTTTCCTTCCTACTGAACGCAAGTGAGGACACCCAATCGGTAGGTTCAGTTACCTTAGCTATCACACCTAAAGACTCCATTCTTTCCAACTCAGATTTCAACTCATCCTTAAGTTGAATAGGATACTTTCTGGCTGGATGTATCACGGGTACAGCGTCTTCCTTCAGAGCTATATGACATTTTCCAGGAAATTGACAAATGCCTTTAAATCTGCCTGGGTATAGCTTCTGTAGGGTTTCCTTGTTAGGGATAGGTGCAGACCTCTCCACGCTATGCACTGAATTCGTGGGACAATTTGGTGTGATTAGATTCAGAGCAAGGATTGAAGGTAATCAAAGCAGAATAGGCCCTGGTGCATCTGCAACAAAGAACTTTACCATCAAATCCACATGGTAAAGTAATACTACCATGCTGGGGAATTTCAGTACCATTATAAGCACTCAGCTTGACATGTCTAGCCTTTGTAGTACCAGATTTCGGGAAACCTGATGCATCAAGAAATTCTGGAAACATTCTTCTGTATACACGAAGTGGTAGAAGATTACCTTGTGAGCCTGTATCCACTTTAACCTTTAAGGTGTGGCTGCCTTGACGGTTACACAGCTTAACATCTAGGTTTACTTTCAGTTCCTCAACGTTGTCTTTGTTACTTTTGTTGATGAGGTAGCCAGATTCAAAATGGAAATGTTCAAACTCCTCACTCACGTAGTCAATATCATGTTGTTTTCGTCAATGTTGGTATGCATTTTGCTTATGCTGAGACTGTCGTGACATATGTTCATCATTCCTACGAGACTGTTATCCACGACTCCTTGACCTGGACTGTTGATGGTGCCTCGACTGTCTTCGTCTATGCTGCGGTCTCTCTCTTCCCTGTTGACACATTGCCTGCCAATGCCCAATTTTACCACACATTTTGCATTTACTGTTGACTGCTGGACATACATTTCTAGATTTGAAAGAGTGTTTTGTTCCACAAAACCAGCAATCATGCTGAATCTCATCAGTTTTTAAAACCTTACCATCTAGATTCTTAA